ACCAGAATCCCTTTGTCTGTCTGCAGCTCGGTGTAGTGAACGTTTTCTCCGGTCACGATACGGGCCCGCCCTGAGCGGAGCCTTTTCAGATCCAAGCCAAGATCCTGCGCCACATTACCAATAACAGAGCCTTTCTTCATCTCCTCAGGTATAGAATACCGAATCTGACCACCTACCATGTTAACAGCAAGAAGCAGCAACAGAAGAAATCCTATGTGACGTCGTACTCCACAAAGTGATCGCCATTCGGATACGCAACTCAGGCATGTTAAAGTCGCCATCACTCAGACAGAATATATATATGTAGAGAACGAACGATTTTTCCGTTCAGGTAGTTTAAATAATGTCCTAGTCTATCATCCCTGAAGCTACATTTACAATTGTCAACAACCTTTATAAAGTTGTGAGTCCTCGTTCAAACGAAATCTTGACAAAAGACAATGAGCTGCCCTTAATGTATGATCACTGAGGGGATGGACTGGATGACAACGAAAGACCGAAAATATTTAACTGGCCAACAGCGTCCCTTAGAGTATAAAACGTGGAAGTCATATGATTCCTGAATTTCAGAAGCAACACCGCAAACCCAACATCAACACATTTTATCTTGCGTGGAAATCAATATGAAATGATATCAAAACACCATGTTCAATAAAATATTTTCACTTCAGCATGTATGTCGCAACGAATTTTGTGAGGAGATATAGTTAAAATGGACCCACTAGAATAATGAGAGATTATCATTCAAGTAATTTCTAAACCCGGTAAACAGAAGAAACCGTTGCAACAAAAAATAAAAAAAATAAAAATAAAAAAAAGGAAAAAAGAGAAAGAAAACGGAAGTATTACTTTTTAAGGAATATATGTATAAATCTATATATCAGTTGCTAAAATAATTCATGTGTCCTCAGGATCTTATAATGAGTAATTTAGAATCACTAGAAAGTATTTTGGCACTCAACTGTCTTGTCATGAAATGTTTTCATGGGAAAGACATAACATAAGAATGCTATTAAGATATGTGTGAATGATTGCTCTGCTTAACATTAAAATGTTTTTTACTAAACTTTCAGGGTAGTCTCGTTCTTTAGAATGTTGTGGAAACCAAATAATATCATTAAACAAAATGTCAGAAGACACTGCAAAGACATGTTTAGAACATTAAAACCCATTTATTTATACTAAAAGAAAAATATTGGCCTCTACCCCTGATTATTCTGGAGGATGTGTGGAGAATGTGTCAATTGTGGTAACCTAGAATTACCTGACTGCTAATGTAAACTAAGACTCTGTTCTTGTTGCTGGAAATTTTGCAACATTGAGAAGCTATTTCATTGAAGCAATTACATAAAGGATAAGGAACAGATGTGTCTATATGAAATGACAAACCTCCAGAGGAGAGTCTGGTTCATCCAGGATGCTCTTTTCACTCTGTATCCGCTGCATCGTTCCTGTAGAACTGGGGTCCATTATCAGCACGTTCTGACTACCAGCTCTGCCGAACTTACAGTCACTCTTTCTGGAGTCAGTCGTCCTGCACACCTCGTAATTGTACACATGTGGCAGAGTCCCTGTGCCCAAAGTGTCTGAGTAACGTGGTGGATAATATGGAATGACAGGCAGGTTGGAGTGATACAGGATGCGAGACTGTCTCCACCTGTAGATTTTGACTGATATAATAACCACTAAACACGTGATGAAGAGGAAGGAAACTACAGCCAGAGCCAAGACTAAGTAAAAAGTCAGGTTGTCATTGTACTCCTTGTCGGTCAACTCAGTGAACTCCGACAGCACTTCAGGGAAGCTGTCCGCCACCGCCACGTTAACAATGACTGTAGCTGAACGAGAGGGCTGCCCGTTGTCCTCCACTATAACAGTCAGTCTTTGTTTGACAGCATCTTTATCAGTGACTTGGCGGATAGTTCTGATTTCTCCATTCTGTAAGCCCACTTCAAACAGCGCCCTGTCTGTGGCTTTCTGCAGTTTATAGGAGAGCCAGGCATTCTGTCCAGAGTCCACATCAACAGCCACCACTTTAGTCACCAGATAGCCCACATCTGCTGAACGAGGCACCATTTCAGCCACCAGAGAGCCACCAGTCTGGACTGGGTACAGAACCTGAGGGGGGTTGTCGTTCTGGTCTTGGATCATTATTTTCACAGTCACGTTGCTGCTGAGTGGAGGAGAGCCTCCATCCTGCGCTTTTACAATGAATAACAGTTGTTTGATTTGCTCATAGTCAAACGAACGCACTGCATGCACCACTCCACTTTCTGCATTAACAGAAACGTATTCAGATACTGGAGACCCATTAATCTCACAATCTTCCAAAATGTAGGAAACGCGGGCGTTTTGGTTTTCATCGGGGTCTTTAGCATTAACAGTCATGATAGAAAGACCAGGAGAGTTATTTTCCACAATCCAAGCCCTATAAAAATTTCGAGGAAATTTTGGGGAATTGTCATTAACATCTGACACCTTTAGATTAAAAGTTTTTCTGGTTGACAGCGGAGGGGAGCCCGCGTCTGAGGCAATAACGGTGATGTTAAATTCTGACAAACTTTCACGATCTAAGGCAGCATCAGTTATCAGTGTATAATAACTTCTCACATTGGATTTAATTTTAAAAGGAACACTGCCTTCGATCGTGCACCTTACCTGTCCGTTTTCACCCGAATCAAGATCTTTCACATTAATAATGCCAAGAGTGGTACCCGGAGCTGAGTCTTCTGACACAGGACTAGTGAATGACATCACGTTAATGACCGGTGCATTATCGTTTATATCCAAGACCTCAATTTCAACTTTACTAGAATCTGTCAGTCCCCCTTGATCTTTCGCTTCAACTCTGAACTCAATCTTTTTGTCCATTTCAAAGTCGATTTCCTTTGCCACATATATTCGACCAGTAGCTTCATCTATATCGAATAAATCAGCTATCCCTGCCTTTGATTTTGAAAAGTAATATGCCACTTTTCCATTTGAACCGGTATCAATGTCGCTCGCATTCACTGTAACAACATGCGTGCCTTTTGGGGCATTTTCAATCACCGCGGCCTTATATAAGGATTGATTAAACACCGGAGCATTGTCATTCGCATCTAGTACGTTTACCTCTATATTTACTGTCCCAGATTTCTGTGGATTTCCACCATCAACGGCCAACAGTTTTAAAGATAGGCGTGGCTGTACCTCTCTGTCTAAAGGCTTCTGAAGCATCATTTCAGCATATTTACTTCCATCCGGATTAACATATTGTTTCAACACAAAATTGTCTGTCGGAGTTAAAATGTAGTTCTGCAGACTGTTTTGCCCAACATCAGCGTCCTCCGCACTCTCCAGCACAAAACGGGAACCGAGCGCAGCAGATTCGCTTATTTCAAATTCCAAGTGACTGTTCTGAAAAGTGGGAGCGTTATCATTTACATCCAATACCTCTATCGTCACAGGGTGCAGCTCCATCGGTTTTTCCAATAAAATCTCAAAGGTAAAGCTACATGGAGTCAAATCCCCACAAAGCTGCTCTCGGTCTATTCTCTCATTCACAACTAAAGTCCCTTTGTCTGTTTTCAGCTCTGTGTACTGAATGCTTTCTCCCGTAACGATACGGGCCCGTCCAGAACGAAGCCTTTTTAGATCCAAGCCAAGATCTTGTGCCACATTTCCAACAAGGGACCCTGTTTTCAGCTCCTCTGGGATCGAATATCGGATCTGTGCCTCCGCTCGATAAAGAAAAAGGACGTGAAAAACAAACAGGCTGGCTGTAAGTTGCATTCGCCATCTTACAACTCGGTCTCGATGTTCTACTCCAAATGCCATTTTTGAAAACAGGTCTTAAAAACCAAAACCGAGCAATGGATCGAGGGCTTTAACTTAGAGAGGAAGACTCACACACCCTAGGTCGATATATGACGTTAAATAAAAAAGCAGGTGTGTATTCTATTTGATCCAGCTCCTATGAAAAGCAGATCATCTGCCGTTACAAAACGCAGTGATGGGGGTGGAAACAGCCCTGTCTCGAAATGCATGGCAGAATAGATTTACCAGGCAACAGCGTCACTTAGAGGGTATAATATGAAACTAGAAAAGCCAATGACCACGTTCATCACTCTGCACACTATCTCTGTAGAAATAACGTAATGATTTCACTTTGAAGGCACGTACGTCTGTTAAGTGAATTAAAGAATGCAGAAAATACTGACTTTCACTGTTAGAAAAAGATTAATTCAACTGGAAAAAAGCAAAAAGTGTGTGACACAAAGCAAAAAGACCACTGGCACTTTCTTCTCTTTTTCCTCTTTCTTTTTCTTTTTAAAACATTTTTTGATAACAGCGGATTTCAAAGTTACTGTCACATGTCCCCTTATGACATAAAAAATACACATTGCTAGTGACCTGTAAATTTTAAAGAAGAACGAATGATAATAACGCAAAACTTGCTTGCTATTAAATGAATCTGAAGTTATGGGTTGTCGTTTTTTATTATTTATTTATTTATTTATTTGTTATTATTTATATAATTAACTGCATTATAAATAAAACATACAAGTGGATCCTAAATGAATGGCCTCTTCAAAGTCTTAGAAATCTCAACGATAATAATGACGACTGCATCTCAGAGCAAAGCACTTCAGCACCAAGGACAGTGACAGGACAGTGGAGCCGTTTCCATTTCAGAATGCAACTACTACAGTATTTAGACGTAATTATATTAACCCTGCATGAAAACAAACATTGTCATTTGATGAAAAATAAATATATATATATTAGTGTTCACACAAGCCAATATAATCAACCGGAGACGTGATGCTTGCACTGTATCCTACAAAGTTTCCAGCGTCATCCATACTAACCAAGGTCTGAGTTATTGCACTTATTGGGGGGGGGGGTATTCGCTGATTATGTATAAACGCAAAAGATAAAGTTTTTTGTCAGTGTGATTTACTTTGTCTTGAGTAGAGTCGGTGAAATTGTATAACCATCTTCAAATGAGGAGCTATTGTTACACTTTGTTTTACAGACAGATACTGTTTACAGACAGAATGATAGAAGAAATTCTCTTCATGACTGTTACAGCAAAAGTGTAGTTTAAAACTATTTATTAGCAATGCTAGATTACTGACACACAAGCGCCCAAATGTAAAACATAAACAAACCTCTATCGGAGAGTCTGGTTCATCCAGGATGCTCTTTTCACTCTGTATCCGCTGCATCGTTCCTGTAGAACTGGGGTCCATTATCAGCACGTTCTGACTACCAGCTCTGCCGAACTTACAGTCACTCTTTCTGGAGTCAGTCGTCCTGCACACCTCGTAATTGTACACATGTGGAAGAGTCCCTGTCCCCAAAGTGTCTGAGTAACGTGGTGGATAATATGGAATGACAGGCAGGTTGGAGTGATACAGGATGCGAGACTGTCTCCACCTGTAGATTTTGACTGATATAATAACCACTAAACACGTGATGAAGAGGAAGGAAACTACAGCCAGAGCCAAGACTAAGTAAAAAGTCAGGTTGTCATTGTACTCCTTGTCGTGGGTCAACTCAGTGAACTCCGACAGCACTTCAGGGAAGCTGTCCGCCACCGCCACGTTAACAATGACTGTAGCTGAACGAGAGGGCTGCCCGTTGTCCTCCACTATAACAGTCAGTCTTTGTTTGACAGCATCTTTATCAGTGACTTGGCGGATAGTTCTGATTTCTCCATTCTGTAAGCCCACTTCAAACAGCGCCCTGTCTGTGGCTTTCTGCAGTTTATAGGAGAGCCAGGCATTCTGTCCAGAGTCCACATCAACAGCCACCACTTTAGTCACCAGATAGCCCACATCTGCTGAACGAGGCACCATTTCAGCCACCAGAGAGCCACCAGTCTGGACTGGGTACAGAACCTGAGGGGGGTTGTCGTTCTGGTCCTGTACATGTACAATAACTGATGTGTTACTACTTTGTGGGGGTGACCCACCATCTTGTGCTTTAACTCGTATTTGATACTCTTTGACTTGTTCATAGTCCAGTGAACGCAGAGACTGAATGACTCCACTTTCTGTATTAATGGAGAAATATGCGGATACCGGATTTCCATTCAGCTCGTCTTCAAAAAGAAAATATGATATACGTGCATTCTGGCCCTGGTCCAAATCAGTAGCACTAATCTGCAACAGAGGGACACCTGGAGAATTGTTTTCCGTTACCTGAGCGCTGTAAAGACTTTGACTAAAAACTGGAGCGTTGTCATTAATATCGCTAACTTCTAAATAGACGGATTTTTTGTTCGATAATACTGGGAAGCCCTCATCAGTGGCAGTGAGAGTAATGTTGTATGTGGGAAGCTTCTCTCGGTCGAGAGTTTGCGCAGTGATTAATGTATAATAGTTTCTGAGGGAAGATTTAATTTTGAAAGGCAGATGTTCATCTATAGTTAAATGCACCTGTCCGTTTTTTCCAGAATCTTTATCTTGGACACTAATTAACGCCACAACTGTGCCAGGAGGAGAATCTTCTGAAATCTTCCCCGAATAGGAAGCCATTGTGATTACTGGACTGTTATCATTTTCATCTACTATTTCGATCACTAACTTGCTGGCTCCTGTGACACCCCATGGATCTTTTGCTTGGAGGTTTATCTCGTAATTTGGAGAAGCCTCATAATCGATATCCCCGACTAGTTTAATCTCACCTATGTTGGAATTTATTTCAAAAGGACAAGCGGAACCATCTTCTAGGTGTGTGAATGAATATGTAACGTTACCATTGTAACCTTGGTCAGCGTCTACTGCACTGACTGTGGCAATAATTGTGCCTCGTAAAGCATTTTCCAATACAGAGGCTTTGTATATGGACTGTGTAAAAACGGGCGAGTTGTCATTTGCATCCAGCACAGATATGTGTATTTTTACCGTTCCGGACATCTGCGGCTCGCCACCATCGACAGCCGTTAATATGAGCGCATGTTTGCTTTGCTTCTCGCGGTCCAAACCACTCTGAAGCACCATTTCGGCATATTTACTCCCATCTGCTCGAGTATGTTGTTTGAGAACAAAATGTTCGTTTGCTTTTAAAGAATAACTCTGCAGTGAGTTTGTCCCTACGTCAGGATCAGCTGCACTATCAAGCAAAAACACAGTCCCAGTCGGCGTCGATTCGCTAATTTCTAAATTAATTTCTTTTTTGGGGAAAACGGGAGCATGATCATTTATATCTTGTATTTCGATAGTAATGGAAAACAATTCGAGTGGCTCTTCAAGAACAATTTCCAGACTAAAGCTGCACGGAGATTTCTTAGCGCATAATCGTTCTCTGTCAATTCTTTCATTGACAACGATATGGCCTTTGTTCTGGTTCAGCACGACATATTGATTATCATCTTCTATTACCAGTCGAGCTCGACCAGATACCAACCGTCTGACATCCAAGCCCAGGTCTTTTGCAATGTCCCCGACAAAGAGTCCTTTCCTCATCTCTTCTGGTATAGAATAGCGGATTTGTCCAGTGACAGCAGCAACCACAAAGAAAAGCAAAATGGAGACGTTCCACTGACGCAGGGTACCGTTGTGCTTCATATTATCCATTTCTTCGCAGTAATATCAGGTCCAAAACAACACAGTCATCGGTACAGAAAGCTCCAGCTATTTATCATAGAGGCTTTGCAGTGTGTACAGTCTTCTTTTAAATTTACCCAAAGCCACGACAGCTTAATAGCCATCGCCTATCTCCTTTAAAGACGGGTGGTGACTTTGTGTCTTTAATACGCATTGCACAAGTCTGCTTAGGCAACAGCACCACCAGCAGTGATGAACTAAAACGGCAGGTGTCTGAGCACTGATGCTCCACTGTTTAGCCTTTCCTGACTACTACATACATTGTTTTTTAGCAACACCCATGCAAAAGAAAGCAAAATCTCGATAAGATCTCGATAAGCATAAATAAAAAGATAAACGAATAAGTTAAATAAATGAAGCATATTTTTTCCATAACGGGTGATTAATATACTGTCTGTTTTATTATTATCTCTGTTTACAAGTCATCTTATGACCACCTAAGTAGGTCCAAAATTTGCCGTGAATGGAGTGGGCTGACAGCAACAACAACGTTTTCTGATACAATATATTCAGCAGACTAAAAAATATAAGAGATTGAGCGAATTCATTTGACAAACATTATGTTGAGACTGAAGTGTGGACAAACACACAGATTCTGTGTAAAACCATACTGAGCTGCATATCTGCAGAGAGAGGCAGGCTGACAGATGGTTACATAGATAAATGAACAAATGTATACAAAGATACAGTAGAGAAGGAGTGGATAGATAGACGGATAGATAATCTGATCTAATCTAACTGATGAGTCCAATGACCTAGATTTGAGCAGTGGAATCAACATTGAAAGTACTGCTACACTCATCCAGAGGCATGAAAAAATAATGACACATTTCAGAGCAGTATGTTTGTTTGTTTGTTTTTGGTTTGTTTTCTTTTTTGTAGAGCTGAAAGGAATGGATAAATTTGATAGGTTTTGATACTTTCTTGCATGTTTCCCTCTTCACACATATTAGCATCCTGCTGAAGAGCAAAAATATTTTGTGCACCATGATTGAGCATTATTTAGGCAAAGACTCCACAGCAGAAGCCAGAAATATTCACATTAATATTCATGTAGCATAAAGCCTAGGGTAGAACTACACAACGCACACAAACTAGAGTAATGTTGCTGCTGTGTTTCAAGACTGCTACCTGCAGTCTCAGTCCTGCACCAATATGACTTTCAATGAAACATTTCTGGGGATATTTGTTGTATAAACACTCATAACATTTCATATCTAGTGTCAATGTAGATCATGGGTTGTGGTGAAATACTATCATGTACTGTGTAAAGGGAACTGTGAATTTCATATTAATTGTGGCTGTATATTGCAATGATAAGGATTTTAGTGTTTGGGGTGAGATTTCAGGGAAAAGGGGAAATCAAAATAATCTTACCTATTAGATTGAAGTGGAAGATTCATCCAGGAAATGCACCAAGAAAAGAAAGAAGAAAAAAGACAGTAGTTAGTATGTATCCTGAAGAACAACAGCAATAAAATAAAATAAAATAGAATTCATGCATATTTATTGGTTTTACACACTGCAAGTGCAATACCGATACAATGGACTACCATAATTTGATCTTTTGAGTTTTTGAAGCAGCATTTTACCCAGACCAAAAATATTTTAGATTTAATAATCTAGTGTTTGAGAATTTAATTGCACTGATTGTTCCTCCTCATGTTTAGAACACTGTTGTCACTAACTTGCTGGCTCCTGTGACACCCCATGGATCTTTTGCTTGGAGGTTTATCTCGTAATTTGGAGAAGCCTCATAATCGATATCCCCGACT